TCAGGTAAATTTAACTTAATTTGATCTAGTCAAGTACATGTTACAAGATTTAATTGAGCAAATTAAGTAGAATTTATCTGATTTATTCACGAATCTTTAACTATACTTTTACTAGATGATGATGAGTAAATATTACATGAATTTTTAGCATTTAAATTTACTTAATAAACGTATTGTTATGAGGATTTTTTCAAGTAAATCTTACAAGTTATTTTTTTTAGAGAAGTTCCAAACTGAGGAAAATAAAAATGAACAACATGTCTGTTTAAGACAGAGATTTTAAAATTTGGTCATATTTACTGTATTTAGTCCACAGAGACTCTTACCTTTTAAATATCAATTCATAGTTAATTTGTTTTTTTTAGAAAGGTCTCATTTACAAGAGAGCCTATGTAGCACAGACACACAACATTAATCACATGCAATATTGTTACAACAATAAAAGGAAGCAACGTATAACAAAACCTAAAAACGAACAGATTTGAAACAATGATTTCTCCATTTGATAGGCATTTCAAGGCACTTTTTAGTCTGCAAACAGCGTGGCCTTCATTTTGTCGGCATTAATAATGAGTTTGAGTTGAAGCAGGTGTGGTTGAATGCAGTTAATTCAGACTGCATRAGGACTTGGTTGAGACAGCATGCCAACAACGGTGTCATCAGCGTATAAATGCACAGTGGCATCAGAAAGCTGTTGACCAACATCATTAACATAAGGACCCACAGCCTTTTGGGATACTTTTCATGATTCACATATAAAGACACACCAGTGTGCTGTACACATTGTTGACATCCAGACAGATAGAATCTGTGAAAGACAGTTTTGYAGAAGCCTCTGACAGAGGATGGAATGAGCTAAAACCTGCTGACAAATCAATGAAGAAAGCAGCACAGCTTATCATCCAGGGCTTCTACAATATTATTTAGCACTTTAGCTGTTATAGTTCTGTGTTGTTTTCTAAAGCCAAACTGATGATATAATAATGTTTGATAAAACCAGTTGGTCATTAACTATTTTTGTCAGCTAAGATTCAAAGTTTAGAAATGGGCTGATGATTATTTTTGAGTTGGATAACCGCTTTTTAAAAAAGAAAGATTAAACGCTTTCTTCCTTAAAAAATTCATAAAAAATAACTTTAAATCACCGACATTAACATTTATTGCAATACATTATTCACCTGAAACAATAACAACTGATACGGATAAGCATCTAAAACTAAATCAGACATTATTTCATGGTTAATATTATTTAGAAGTTTGGGGTACGCAGGGTTTGTGAATTTATGTTCAAAAAGAMCTCCGTTTATGTTTCTATTAATGACTTTATTTCTGCAGTACTTGTGCTGATCCAGTTAATGTTCAAATGATTAAACGTCTGTTTACTGTCTGTCTAAAGAAGTTTATATGGGACTTCTGTTTGTCACAGGTTTTTTTAAAACTTGAAAGCATCAAAAGTATATTTGTGTCACATTAAAGCTGCTAACACATTCTTTATTTTGAATTATTCTCATACCCTATATGACTGTGAGAAAAGCTGGGAACACTGCACCACCTGCTCTTTAAACCAAACAGAATCACATGAAAACAATAAGTAAATAAATAAATAAATAAATAAATAAATAAATAAATAAATAAATAAATAAATAAATAAAGGGATTCAGTTGAATAAATTACTAACAATAAGTAACAAGGAAAATAGCATATAACATGACTGAAATAACAAAATGTTTCACAAAACTAAAACTATAAAATGTAATTTCCACCCCCCACAAACTATCTATAAAGTGATGAAGACAGGAGAAGTTGAGCAATTAAAAATAATGAAGAAACACGATTCATGTCACAAAACCWAGGATGTGAAAAATGAATAGAGATGCTTTTCATTTGTTCAAGATGGAGTTCTCTAAGTCACTCTGTTCAAATCCAAGCAAAAGAAAAAACAAACAAATTATTACAACAACCAAACAAACAAACAAACAAACAAAAAAAAAACCAAATGACTCAAAATAAATTGGAAACTTTTTGAGTTTCAGTTCAGCCAAAAGACCAATTCCAATATTAAATAATCTTTATAAAACAATAATAAAATAAAGGTAAGACCCCATGAAGCCCTCTCTCCTCTCATTTACTTTCATCGCGGCTGCTGCTGCTGACGTCATCAACCCCCCCGGCACAGCTGCGTCGCCATTTTCACCCATTCAGACTGACTGACAGACTCATCCTCCTGTTTTTATCCCCTGGCTCCCCTCCTCCTCCTGTCTCCCCCTCCCTCCCTCCCTCGCCGTGTGACGCACAGCCGTCACACTCAGCTGCTGAGGCTGAGGCTTCTTCCCGGCGGATCCTCCATGTAAGGATGCGCAGCGGGAAGTGATGCTGCAGGCGCACCAAAGACAGACAGACTGAAGAGGAGAACCAAACACCGGGGGTGGGGGGGATCTTTTAATTTCCCCTTTATTTTCTTGAATGGATTCATTTTGTGTGTTTGATCGGGTCTGAGTTGTTGAGGTAAGACGCGGCTCCTCTCATGGATCTATCTGTTTTTGTGTTTGTTGRTGTTATCCTTTATTATTAGGTTGTTAATAATAATAATTGGACACACTGGCTGGACGCTGCGTCAGGACGTCTGACTCAGTGGCTCACTTAAAATCACAGACGTCGCAGTCATTTATTTAATTAAACTCGCGCATATAAAACATCGAGGCTATAATGTCCTGATTTTCCGCGAAACTGCGCGCTGAGCTGCTGTCTGGCGCAGTGGAGGCTGTTTCGGCATCTCTGTTTACGCGGCCTGCATTTTGAGGTGCGGCAGGCAAAGCAAGATGGAGGCGACGGGATTTATTAATGAAACAGCATCATCCGATCAAACAACCCACTAAATCCACCACCGCGTCCTATATGTACATATTATTTGGTATTATTTGTATTTAAGGTCATTTGATGAGAGGATGGATGAATATTGAAGCGAATACAGGAAGATGATTATTATTATTATTTGAGCACAGAAAACAAACAGACAGATAATAAGGATAAAATCCAAATTAATGGTAAGGATTTGATAAGGACTGGAAAATGAGACAGAGCAGACTGGAGGATGTGAGTTTCATTAMAAGGCCTGGATGCTGCCCGACCAGTGGGCAGCCATTTTATTGTAGAATAACAGGGATGCTGACGGTCCTCGTGCCAAATAATGACCCAGCCTTTCAAACAGAAGCTTTTATTTCAGSAGCTGCGTGTTTCTGTCTGCACACACAAAAAAAAGACTGTTTGATGGATGCATCATCTTTGTGTCTGTTCTGTATTCAGTGCATTTAWAACACAACCAGCGATTTTTATTTATTTATCTTAAATTATGGGGAAATAAAAGCCACATATTCTTTTAAGGAATACATATTGCCCGCCAAGATCAGCTTATTATGAGAAATGATGGAGTTGTAACCATTTTTAACGCCAAATTGTGAGATCTTGCTCTCAGAGTACGCGTTGTGGATGACTCTCAGCGACCACAACACRTTTCAGCTTAGTTTTGTGTTGATGATGATGATTAGTTGTGGCGGCCATCTTGAACTGGGTTAAATCCAAATGTGAATGAGCTATAGAACTACATCCAGTCGTTATTTTCCAAAAGTCTCGTTGAAATCTATTTTGTGGTTCATGAGATATTTTGCTAACAGACAGGCGGTTTTGATATTAACGTTTAAATTCAGCATTTTAAGCAAATATGCTTCATAACRTGTAGCACTCAGAGAGCATGTTGAAGATGATTTCCAGCTATGACCACATCAAATTTGAGCTTGATATCTGTAATAATGACAATTAAAAATGCTTTTATTTTTGTGTAATGTAGATTTGCTGTGGCAGCTGTTTTGAATTGGACTGATTCCAAATGTTAATCAACTTTAAATGTACATCCAGTGATTACTTTWTGAGAGTTTCATTGAAATCCATTCAGTAGTTCATAAGATATTTTGCTAACAGACAAGTTATCAGTAAGGTTTAAAGATCAGATCTCATAAAAGGATAATTCAGGTTATTCTATGTTCCTGTTGTCATCTACCTGTGCAGGAGCCAGGTGTGTGTCTGCAGCCACACAGATCTCCAGCGTTTCCGCTCACACCTGCGACATGGCGGGGGCTTCGGTGAAGGTGGCCGTGAGGGTCCGGCCCTTCAACTCCAGGGAGATAGGGAAGGAGAGCAAGTGCATCATCCAGATGTCTGGAAACACAACCAGTGAGTATGACCTCATCTGGATGACTCATTATGGATTTAGCCCCACAGGTGATGGAAGTCAATGTCTTTAATTTGAAACTAGATAAATGAGGCGTCGTGTTGATGTGTTTGCTTTGTTTGAATAAAGAACCAGATTTTATCATAATAAAGAAAGAAAATCTTATTTTCAATGTATTTCCCTTCAGTTTAGTTTATAATTGAATGTTCAGTTGTCTGACGTTATCATATAAAGACCAACATTCACTCGTTGATTTCATTTACTGACTTCCTGTTACTTTTACGAATTAAAACTTTGCAGTTTTAAAATCATTTGGAAAATACCTTTTTGCTAGACACAGTTAAAGAAGTTGAACGTGGAGTTATTTATTTTACTAAACAAATTGTAGTTAAAAAAATAAGTCAAACTGAAGCGAAAGTATTTTAATTTTATCTTAAAACTTTAAAATTTAAAGATAAATTAACGATGCTAATTAGACCTTTAAGGGTTAGGACAAACCCCTTTAAGTTATTCTAAAACCACAACTCATACTTGAACATTCAATTGGATTAAATGGAAAAGTCCTCTCATGGTTGAGATYATATCTGTCTGGAAGATCACAGAGGGTTAGTTTTAAAAACGAGYTCTCTGAGATAAATACTGTGGGCTATGGGGTCCCACAAGGGCCTGTGCTTGGCCCCCTGCTATTCTCTCTCTACCTTCTGCCTCTTGGTCTTCTTTTGTGTCATTTTRATATGGCCTTTCATTGTTATACTGATGATTTGCAAYTGTAWAWGCMTTTTTCTCTTKGAACCTGCACCAATCTCTCTAACCTTACAACCTGCTTAACTAAAACAAGGAAATACGATCATATCATTCTGGTGCTGTCATCTCTCCACTGGCTGCCCTGCCATGTTCGTGCAGATTTCAAAGTGTTTCTTCTCACCTATAATGCCTTACATGGCCTGCCGCCTCCCTACCTTTCAGACCTTCTCCACMCTTACATTCCATCTCGTGCTGTCCAATCTCAGGGCACTGGTCTGTTGGTAATCCCTAAGGTCAGACGTAAAACCGTTGGAGTTTGTGCTCTTTTCTTTCGTGACCCTTTATTGTGGAATGATCTCCCTCAAGACGTCAGGCTGGCCTGATCAGTGGAAGTTTTTAAAGCTAAGCTAAAGACCCACCTGTACACTCTCTCTTATGTGTCTTAAATTTTACATTTGTATTTTATCTTTTTTTCCAATGTTTTACTTGTTACAACTTCTTTTATATTGGTTTTTACCTTTTTTTTTAACTGTTCAGCACTTTGTTGAAAGTGCTTTATAAATAAAGTTATTATT